CGTCCGACAGAAGAAGAAGAAAAAAGAGCCACGTCTCCCTCTCAGCTGAGTATTGTTTTTATTGTTCTGAATAGAAAGTCCCACTGGCTGCAGGTACAAAAACAGAGAGCCGGACTCGTCTGACCAGACACCAGAAGAAGAAGAAGAAGAAGAAGAGGAGGAGGAGGAGGAGGAGAGAGAAGATGAAGAAGAAGAAGAAGAAGAAGAAGAAAGACAGCTGTTCTAAACTACAGGCAGAAATCATCCTGATACACGTCGGCGTCCCAGAAGCTGCACACTCAGATAAATCAACATTTTTCTACTCAATAATCATTAAAAAAAAACAGAGAAAATATGAAATCGTCCCTTTAAGCCGACAGACATTCAGACCACAACAGAAGAACGAGTTTAGCTTTGAGTCACAGCTACGAGGACGTCCGTCTCCGCCAGTAAAAACACAAGAAACAGACTTAAAATGAGAAAAAACAGCCTTAAAAATTAGGTTTAGGGTTCAAATGTTCACCGTGTGAGTCCAAATAACAGAATCATGGAAAAATAAAACATTTAACTTAAGTTAGTTTTCCTGGAGTTCTAAAATCGGGATTCATAACTCAAAAATATGAAGAAATAAAATACAAATTTTCATCTTAAAAATTGCACTTTTCATGAGTTTTTGTCTGTCAAACAACTTTTATTCACATTTAAAACACTTAAACCTGAAATCAAACTATTAAATTAATTTATTTTTAGTTGAATTTGGTTCACATCTCATTGCAGTGTCCTTATTTTGATCATTTAACTGGTTTATTAGCTTGTATGGCTTTTTTATGCATCTTTTTTATTCCTATGTGCTGTCTTTACATAATTCAGTTTATTTTATTTTATTTAAAGCATTTTAAATTAGTTTAAATTGATTTGATGTCAATTTTTAACTCAATATTTAAGTTTCTGAAATATAATTTAAGATGAACAAAAAAAACTTAAAGGGGTTTCAGTGTTAAAATGACCCTAATTAGTACAAAAAAAAGGATCATTCTGACCACAAAAAAAGGAACTAAAGTTCTTTTCACTAGAAAGTTGAAATAATAATTCTGAACCAAAAGATATTTAAAAAAAACAGCTTAAAGTGATACTTTCCACCGTCATTTCTCAGTGTAATTTGATTCTTCAGGATCATTTCAGCTCTCAATTTTAACTTAAAAGGATCAGAAATCCAGTTTTGAGTGACTGATTTAATGTAATCACAACTCAATATTTGAGCTTGATATCTAACGTTTCACTTTTAAGGT